TCTCTAGTGACTTAAATAATTTATATGAAAATCCTCTCAAAAGTTACAAAGCTAACTTTATACACGACTACTTCAACACTCCTTGGAAAAAGGCTTCCACTAATTTTGCAATACACGACTATCTTTATATACGACGATTTGTTCAATCTCTCACTGGTTTAAAGTAAGAAGTCATGACAATATCAATACTTAAACAATGGCATGGAAAGTCCTACTGATAAAATTGCTATGTTAAATATGCAATTTTATTCTTTCAACAAGTACTATTGCTGCATATTATTACTCCATCTGCAGTGGCTTAAAATAATTCTACGAAAATCCTCTCAATAAGTACAAAACTATCTTTATACACGACTACTTCAACACTCCTTGGAAAACGGCTTCCACTAATTTTGCAATACATGACTATCTTTATACACACTATTTGTTCAATCATCTCACTGGTTTAAAGTAACAAATCATTACTGTTGGAAGTCCCACATCGACTAGAGATAAGGCCAAATTATAATATATAAGTGAGGTGCAAACCTCACCTTACAAGCCGGTTTTTGGGAATGAGTTAGGCTTTAAACCAACTTTCTGTTTTTTTTGTATGCTCCAGCTTGAGGGGGAGTGTTAGATATATTATATGTTTTATCTTTATTTTTTATATTTTAGTTAGTTGGTTATTATTTCTTATTTGTAATAATACAAATTATTATTTGTAATAAATAAGGCGATGGTCGACGGCAGAGGCGACTGGCTGCACTGGTGTTGACTATGGCGCAGATTTAAGAAGAAGAGAAAGGGCTACCCACTGAAATTTTAGGGGCTGCCGGCAGACAGCAGAGATCACCGAAAGAGATTAGAGAACCTTAGGCTCTTATACCATGTTGAATATAATGAAAATTATATATGGGATTAATCTTCCTTGCGTTAAATGCACACATAGGGTTCTCTATTTATAATAGAAGAAATATGGGCTAAGCCCAAAATACAAATAAGAAATAATAACAAACTAACTAAAAGATAAAAGATAAAGATAAAACATATAATATATCTAACAATTACAATATCAATACTTAAACGATGGCATGGAACAAGCCAAACTGATAAAATTGCAATGTTAAATATGTAATTTTATCCTCTTAACAAGTACTATTGTTGCATACTATTGCTCCATCTACAATAACTTAAAAAAAATCTATGAAAATCCTCTCAACAAGTACAAAACTATTTTTATACACGACTACTTCAACACACCTTGGAAAACGGCTTCCACTAATTTTGCAATACACGACTATCTTTATACACGACTATTTGTTCAATCTCTCACTGGTTTAAAGTAAGAAGTCATGACAATATCAATACTTAAACAATGGCATGGAAAGTCAAACTGATAAAACTGCTATGTTAAATATGCAATTTTATTCTTCCAACAAGTACTATTGCTGCATACTATTAATCCAGCTGCAGTGGCTTAAATAAATTCTATGAAAATCCTTTCTAAAAGTACAAAGTTATCTTCATACACTACGACTTCAACACTACTTGGAAAATGTCTCTACTATTACTGCAATTGTGTTACTTTTCCTCACATGTTTATTCAAACTATCTTCTCAATCATCTCATTGATTTAAAGCAAGAAATCATGACAATATCAATACTTAAACAATGGCATCGAACAAGTCAAACAGATAAAATTGTTATGTTAAATATGCAGGAACTTGAAGAGAGAATTCAAAAAATAAGCAAAATAGGAAGTCAATTGGTAGAAAAGTATTTGATGATTGTATTTGAATGTTCTAATATAAGGAAAAATTTGTGATGATATATCCTGTGTTGTTCCTTTTCTTTCAATGATAATTTAACTTATTTTCTAATTTTTCTATTTGGATTCATTATATGGGAAATCTAGTGATGTTACACTTGGATGTCAAATCCAAGGAGATGACAAAGTATGAGTGATCTGTTTGTATGAATTGAGACTAAAACGAAAAAATAATAATGACGGGAGAAATTAAATTAAAGAATTCTAACTAGAAAAGAAAGTAGAATAAAACCTTGAATGAAAATATTAAAACAGTGCAGAACTAATGCAATATGTGAAAGTAAGAAAAGGTTATATGATATAATGATATTCTAGATAGAAATTATTAATGAACCTATAAAATGCCATGAATGGTGCAGGAAAATATGTGTTGATGGTTAAAATGCAGAAAATATGTGATTACATATGAATTATAAAACTGTTCGATGAAATATGTTAATAGGAATGCAACAATAGTACCAGTCAATTATAGTATGAAATAATAGCACCAGTCAATCACTCTCCTACACAACGAGTAAACCAATTCAGTGTGCCCCCATCCTTTTTTAAGATGTATGTCAACTATATACGGATTGATACGTCTTTTTTCAACTGCATATGTACAAAAGAACCACTCACCAGTACGTATGAACCACTCATTGGGAAGAATGAACCAATCCTTTCCTTTCATCAGATTTGTTTCAACTATCTTTAAGAGCACAAGTTTTGGAACCGAGTGTCCGAAAGAGAGTCCAAAACATTTCACTGATTTGCTTATATTTTCAATAATATCATCATCAAAGATTGATCTTGGAAATCAGACTGAAAGCAAAGAAAATATAAAACATGTATACAGTGTAAGCCAACTAATAGAGGCATGTCTTGAATTCAAAGTCATTCAGAATAAAAGCTTTCTTGACTTGGAATTATATGAAGATGAAGTGTTGAGAATGCCAAGCTTAAATATAAATGCCAGTAAATACCTTTATTTGAGGAATATGATGACATATGAAAGGTGCCACCATTCAGCTACAAAAATCATTACTCAATATTTAGCGATCCTATATTTTCTTATCAAGACTGAAAAAGATGTAAACTTACTTATTGAGAAGAAAATTATTGTCAATTGAAGCGGTGATACTAATAAGGTGGTTACAATAATTAATATTTTGGCTTCAAATATGAGGATCTCAGACTTCAGTACATACTATTGTTCCATCTATAATGGCTAAAATAATTTCTATGAGAATCCTCTCAGCAAGTACAAAGCTATCTTCATACACGACTACTGCAACATTCATTGGAAAAAGGCCTACACTATTGCTACAATTCTTTTACTTTTGCTCACGTTTATTCAACTCTATGTTAAGCCATCTCACTGGTTTAAAGTAAAAAATCATGTCAATATCAATACTTAAACAATGGCATGGAACAAGTCAAACAAATAAAATTGTTATGTTAAATATGCAATTTTATCCTCTCAACAAGTACTATAGTTGCATACTTGATATGGAACTTCATGCCTAGAGAGAAGTATAGTAAATGACGTACAAGAGAATGGAAAGAAAATAAAAACGGAAAAGAGAAGGGAAGAGAAAACTTAGGACTCATAGACACGCCACTTGAGAGAGGACTCCAAGATAAGTGTCGAAGAAGGACCGCCACTCGCTTTGCACAAGATAAGGTCTGCTCAAAATGGACTAGAGATAGAAAACTATCTCAAGAGGAATGCAAATTTGCAATTCAACTTAAAGAATTCATTCAATTCAAAGGTTAATCCAAAATGAGAGACCCTAAGCCTTCTTATATAGCTCTTGGAGTGAGTTTGGAGAATGGAATTAAGAGATGTGGGACTTCTAGTCTCAAGGCCGACCAGCAACTCCTAAGGTGCTTTGAGTCCCACATTGCTTAATTCCCTTCATCCTAAAGGGTTTATAAGCCAACTAGTTCTCCTAAAGTTCAAAACAAAGAAGAAAAGCTATGCTACCTTGCACTTCCATCTAAGACGCCTTTCTTCCTCTTCTTTTCTTTTAAAACCAAGTCATGAGAGTCCCACATTGCTTATGCTTAAAGGAAAAGAAGGGTTTATAAGCATTTATTCTACTAGAACTAATGAAAAGAAATCAAAGAGGCAAATACAAGCCTTTGAAACTTATTCTACTGCAGTGGCTTAAATTTTTTTTATGAAAATCCTTTCAACAAGTACAAAGTTAATTTCATACACTACTCCTTCAACACTCCTTAGAAAAATTGCTATGTTAAATATGCAGGTAATTGAAGAGAGGATTCATTAAATAAGTAAAATAAAAATTCAGTCAGTAGGAAAGTATTTGATGACTGTATTTGAGTGTTCTAGTATAAGGAAAAATTTGTGATGTTATATACTGTGTTGTTGCTTTTCTTTCAATGATAATTTAACTTATTTTCTAATTTTTCTATTTGGATTCATTATATGGGAAATCTAGTGATGTTAGACTTGGATGTCAAATCCAAGGAGATGGCAAAGAATGAGTGATCTGTTTGTATGAATTCAGCCGAAAATGAAAAAGAAACAACGACGAGAGAAATTAAATTAAAGAATTCTAACTAAATAAGAAACTAGAACTACAAGAAAAATGTAAATTATCTACTGATGTTTACATACGGATTTTAATCCGTATATAATGTATACGAATTTTATATACGAATTTTGAAAAGTAAATTACATACAGATTTTTTATACGGATTTTTCCGTATATAAAATTCATACATAAATTTAGCATGTTAGAATGGGAAAATTTTGAAAACCAACATTCATGTATAATGGTGTATAATCTGTATGTAATTAAAAAAATAATTATTAAAAATAAAATCTAAAAATTCTTTTCCCTCTTTTACGGTCACCCTTTTCCCACTACTTTCCAAAATCTAAAAATTTTACAAATTCCATTCAAAATTTATCAATAATCTTAGTTACTACTCTAAGTTCTCTCAAAGTATGAACTCTGGGAGGGTTTCTTCTCCTTTCTTCACGCATACAACAGTAGTCCCCTAGACCAGTCATTGTCGCACCTTCTCTAGAGATACACGAAGCCTTCCGAGCTCACTCACTGATATACAAAGCCCAAGTTTGACTCCCTCTTGTTCACTCTCAGTTCAACCTCTCCCGTTGCCTTCACTCTCGTTCACTCTCAGCTTAGTCTGTCATTCACTATCGTTGGCTCATGTTCACTCATAGTGTTCATCGCTCAGGCTCTCGCTGATGAAGATCATTCTTCCTACTTCTTGACACACAGAGTTCGTTCATTGTTCATTTATGTGGTAAGTCATGTTCTTCGTTCATCATTAAATCCCTAAATTCATAAAACCCGAAAACCCTAATTCCTCTCTTCTTTTCTTTTTTTCATTCACTCACGTGAAAGCATTTATGCAGGCTTGAGCTTTGTTGTCTAGATCGGAGGCCAACACATGTAGTTGGCCTTTCGGGGTAGGGTTTATAATGACCCAATTTAAAAAACTTAAAAAAAAGACCCTCTTTTTCTAGGGTTCTCCATCACAAATCAGAACCAAACAACATCCTACTCTACTTGACTGCTCTGCTTGATTATGTATGTATGCAGTATGAAGGTGTAGCCAATGAGGGTGGTAGAGGACCGAGTATTTCGGATACCTGCATTCATAAATATCCAGGTAAATATATATTTTTCTGATTTTCTCGTATGGTTATACTGAAGATCTTTTCCAAAAATTATATAATTATTGATATATAGTAATTAACATGCAAAAAAGGTAGAAGACAGAAGCAATGAGGATGTTGTAGTTTACTCGTATCACAGCTACAAGGTATTGTCGATTCACAGTTTTTGTTTCTTTTGATGTAATTTATCAACTATCATCACTAATGAAAAGTAGCGCTGAAAGCTTATCAGATATTTGCATCATATAATATGAAATAAAGTGTTGCTTTTGTAAATTTCATTTCTTATCACGATTATTGCTACACCTAATGATTACCATTAAGTGCTTGTTTATCAAACTCTAAATAAATATATTTAGAACATTCTATCCAAATTAAATGATTATTTATTACTTAGACTAAACCCTAGGAAAGTTCAACTAAAAGAAATGTTAAACATTATAAAACTTTAAAGAATTGTTTTTGTAGCTTGTTTTCCATCGTTTTCAAATAAACATGTTTTGTTACATCTTATATTTGAGGACAATGTTCAGATTATGAAGGATATGAATTTGGATGTTTATAGATTTTACATGGTCAAGAATTCTTACGAGTAATTCAAATATAGATCTATGATTATTTTGGAGTAAGCTTTACTTGTTTGGATGTTTCATTACAATCATTACTTATTTATCTACTATAAACTGCATATATATTCACATATGGAAAGCTAAGTGAAGGTATAAACCAAGAAGGAATTAACTCTTACAACAACCTTATCAATGAGGAATTGGCAAATGGTAAGAATAAAAACTTTATTATGGATATTTTTATTATGCTTTACATATAGCAACTTCTCATGTTATTGGTGATGATAAAACATTAATATTAATCATCATTTATATTAAAATAATTTCAGGTTTTGAAGCATTTGTAACTCTATTTCATTGGGATCTACCTCAATATTTAGAAGATGAATATGGGCAATTCTTAAGTCCTCGCATTGTGTAAGTTTTGCAATTTAATTAACATTTTCACTTGAATGCTTTGCTAAAATGTTTTGGGAACATTCCTAAAAAATCACACACTTTAATATAGGAACATAACCCTATTTCACAACACATCACCAACTTGTTGCTCATGCAGTTGTGGTTAATGTGTACAAGACTAAGTATCAGGTCAGTTTTTATTAAATTTCAGCTTCGTACTTGCTATGTTTGTTACTGTGGAACATATTTTTTAGTATATTAAATGAAAAATAAAATGAGAAACTTATAATTCTAAGTGTTTGCTAGCATGTGGAATATCAATTTATCCAGTATTTTTTGTATTGGAAGAATGTTTATATAGTGGAAAAGAGCATGAGAAACTGATAATTCTAAGTCCAAAGCATTACAAGAATAAGAACCATTCACGTTAATAAATAAGATGGATTCAAAATAAAGATATAGATATCGACCTTTCTCTTAAATGTTGGTTTCTTAACTATTTTCCTTATTCTTAAGGCCATCAAGATTTCAATTGCTTTATTTCTTCTCTAGTGCCACTTTTTCTTCTATGCCTTTAAGATATTATGATTTATGAAAATACTTTCATAGAAGTAACTCACTGTACTGATTGCATGAAAAAAGATACCAGTGAGTTTGATACATGCTCTAATCGCCTTAGTTTTTATAATTTGATCATCCTGTTGATTTTACACCTTAATTGTAAAGTTCATTTCAATCCAATCCAATGTATTATGAGTTAGAATGCATTGGTTTTTGGCATTTTGAAAGAGTTTAGAAATATTAAAATAACTGATGCAGTATTGAAATGCACAAATTAATTTTACATCAAATAACACATCTCATGTAATTCACAACATAATTCAAATTTTAAGTTAAACATAATCTCTTAATAAAATATACCATAGGTGACAAAAGTCCTGGTTAATACATAAAAATAGATGTTAGTTCATAATAATCGCATGAAAAAAGACTTTTTTTATTCCTTTTGCTTTTTAATTTCAATCTAATTACCACAATGTTGTATTGGATTGGTTGATGAACACTCTTAGTATAGATGATATATATCAGTATTGTAGAACTTTGAGTTTTTTAAGTACTTTGTGATCTCAATTAACTCTCAAAAACCTTTCTCCATTTTAGCTATTCAACTTGTATCCTTTGAATGACATTATCAATTTACCCATCTTTCTTGGAGTATTATTTTTTATTTGAATGTCTTAACGAATTCTACCTATAATATTTTCATTTTAAAGCTTTGTTGGACTTTTATTATATAAGGAGTAACAAGTATGATATATCTCCAGAGCTTGCTCTATCATGGAGAAAGGTGCAAGCAGGAAACAGAGAGAAGGAAAGGAAAAATGCAGGAGGTATGAAATTAAACTTTTATTTTTTTGAAAACTTACAACTAAAAAAAGGGATTTTATTTAACATAGGCTGAGTCAATAATTTTTAACATGCAATATTGATTTTATTTAACATAGGCTGAGTCAATAATAAGTAACATATAAATATCTATAGTTTTATAACGATGAGGTGTACTATTTTCACAGGGCTTTGCTATTCATTGATCAGCCACTAATAAAATGTAGGTTGTATCATCTATTCTAATCCCAGTTGTGCTTCTTTCTGGAACTATGTAAAAGTGGCCCATTTTAGGGTGATGAAGCATAGCAATTACAAATGTTTATACCTTAAATGTTTTATTTTATCTACCATGTGTTTAGATCTATTTGAAATATTATACATTAAGACAAATAGATCTATTTGAAATATTATTTAACTAGTTTTGTTTCCAATGACCAGCAATCTAAGTCTACTATAGTTATGTCATTTCTTATCCCCTCCCTTTGTTTTCAGATTCCATCAAGCTTGAAGAAGGTCTTCCACCCAATAATTTTTTGTGCAACATTTGGAGAACTAGCAGCAATTATTTCACAGTTTCTTTCTTAGTAGAGCTCTATTCTATTTTAGGTGTAAATTATAGTTTAGTTAATATTCAACTCTATATTGTACAAGGGCCGATTTGTTTTGAACTATATTTATAGAGTCTTTCAATAAAACATTTATGTTTTAATTATTTGTTTTAAGCATAGTTATATATTATAAATTCTTTACCTTTGTTGAAAGTTGAAACTAATAGCAATAACCTTATATAATATTGTATTTGTAAGTTTGTTTGTTTTAAAGCTTTCTGTTTTTTACAAATAAAATTATTGTTTTTTCTTTATTGTATGTTACATACGGAGTATATAAAAAAATTATTTTTTTTATATATTATATACGGATTTATCCGTATATAACTTAACTATGATAGTTTTATATACAAATTTTTGTTCGTATGTAAGCCTTATGTAACCAAGTGTTATATACGGATTTTGGCGGTATGTAATTCAATTTTTTCTTGTAGTGGAATAAAACCTTGAATGACAATATTAAAACAGAGCAGAACCAATGCAATATGTGAAAATAAGAAAATGTTATATGATATAATGATATTATAGCTAGAAATTATTAATGAACCTATAAAATGCCATCAATGGTGCAAAAAAATGTGTTGATGGTTAAAATGCAGAAAACATATGATTACCTATGAATAATAAAATTGATTAATGAAATATGTGAATAGGAATCCAACAATAGTACCAGTCAATTACTCTTCTATACCAAGAGTAAACCACTTCAGCGTACTTCATCCTTTTTAAAGATGTGGATCAACTATATACGAACTGGTATGTCTTGTTTCAACTGCATATGTACAATAATCTTAGTGGTTTAAAGTAAGAAATCATGACAATATCAATACTTCAAAAATGTCATGGAACAAGTCAAACTGATAAAATTGTTGTGTTAAATATGTAGGTAGTTGAAGAGAGGATTCATTAAATATGCAAAAAAGGAAGTCAGTTGGTAGGAAAATATTTGATGATTGTATTTGAATGTCCTAGTCTAGGGAAAAATTTGTGATGCTATATACCATGTTGTTGCTTTTCTTTCAATGATGATTTAACTTATTTTCTAATTTTTCTATTTGAATTCAATATAAGGGAAATCTAGTGATGTTGGACTTGAATGTCAAATCCAAGGAGACGGCAAAGTATGAGTGATCTGTTTGTATGAATTCAGCCTAGAATGAAAAAGATACAATGACGAGAGAAATTAAATTAAAGAATTTTAACTAGAAAAGAATCTAGAATAAAACCTTGAATGAGAATATTAAAACAGTGCAGAACCAATGCACTATGTGGAAATAAGAAAATGTTATATGATATAATGATATTCTAGCTAGAAATTATTAGTGAACCTATAAAATGCCATGAATGGTGCGAGAAAATGTGTTGATAGTTAAAATACAGAAAACATATGATTACCTATGAATTATAAAATTGTTCGATGAAATATGTGAATCGGAATGCAACAATAGTACAAGTCACTTATAGTATGCAACAAAACTACCAATCAATTACTCTCCTATAGCACGAGTAAACCACTTCAGCGTACCCCATCCTTTTTTCAAGATGTGTGTCAACTATATACGAACTGGTATGTCTTGTTTCAACTGCATATGTACAATCATCTTAGTGGTTTAAAGTAAGAAATCATGACAATATCAATACTTAAACAATGTCATGGAACAAGTCAAACTGATAAAATTGCTATGTTAAATATGCAGGTAGTTGAAGAGAGGATTCAGTAAATATGCAAAAAGGAAGTCAATTGGTAGGAAAATATTTGATGATTGTATTTGAATGTCCTAGTATAAGGAAAAATTTGTGATGTTAAATACCGTGTTGTTGCTTTTCTTTTTATGATAATTTTACTTATTTTCTAATTTTTCTATTTGGATTCAGTATAAGGGAAATCTAGTAATGTTAGACTTGGATGTCAAATCCAAAGAGATGACAAAGTATAAGAGATCTGTTTGTATGAATTCAACCTAAAATGAAAAAAATACAATGACGGGAGAAATTAAATTAAAGAATTCTGACTAGAAAAGAAACTAGAATAAAACCTTGAATGAGAATATTAAAACAGAGCAGAACCCATGCAATATGTGAAAATAAGAAAATGTTATATGATATGATGATATTCTAGCAAGAAATTAATAATGAACTTATAAAATGCCATGAATGGTGCAAGAAAATATGTGTTGATGGTTAAAATGCAGAAAACATGTGTTTACCTACGAATTATAAAACTATTCGATGAAATATGTGACTGGGAATGCAACAATAATACCAGTCAATTATAGTATGCAACAATAGCACCAGTCAATCAGTCTTCTATACCCCAAGTAAACCACTTCAGCGTGCCCCATCCTTTTTTAAGATGTATGTCTCATATGTTTTTAAGACTCCTTGAACACTACTACTTCAACACTCCTTGAAAAAAGGCTTCCCTTATTGCTGCAATTGTGTTACCTTTGCTCACGTTTATTCAGACTATATGTTTAGTCATCTTACTGGTTTAAAGTAAGAAATCATGACAATATCAATACTTAAACAATGACATGGAACAAGTCAAATTGATAAAATTGCAATGTTAAATATGCAATTTTATCCTCTCAACAAGTACTATTGTTGCATACTATTGCTCCATCTGCTATAACTTAAATAAATTCTGTGAAAATCCTCTCAACCAGTACAAAACTATCTTTATACACGACTACTTCAACACTCCTTGGAAAAAGGCTTCCACTAATTTTGCAATTGTATTACTTTTGCTCACATTTATTCAGTCTATATGTTGAATCATCTCACTGGTTTAAATTAAGAAATCACGACAA